TGTACCGGAAGGTCCCTATCGGTCACGTTGACCAACACGTGCCATTTCGTCAGACACCCATGCATAGCCACGTACAAGCATCATCATCAACATCGGCTCGGCATGAGGCCGAGAACCGACATCAGTCTGGTTAATGCAAATATGGACCATCATCATTCATCGAGTCGGCTCGGTCAGGTGCCGTGCCGACATAGAACATACCGGAAGTATACAGGCTGCCGTGTACGGACTGGACGGTTCGGTCATTTGCCGCTCCGACTAGTATTGATTAGACGGCTCGGCCTCTTGCCGAAGGGTTAGGCGAGTCATAACAAGTAATCACAGTCAAGAAAGGTAAGTACATGATTAAAGCCTAAACGACCAATTAGTACCGTATTACCTAATTTGGTAAACATCTGATAGGGCCCATCACGCTCAGGCCCATGTCAGATGCTATAAATAGGTCTCACGTAACAAGGTATGTCACTGTTCATTTTTAACCTAGATACTCGTGCATATACTAACTTGAGCGTCGGAGTACCTTTTGCAGGTACCTTCCCCCACTTTTGAAGACATCGTTGGAGCTCTTATTCGGTCCCCTTTCACTAGGAAGAACAGGAGTGTGCCCTCAGACAGGTACAGAAACCATTATTTTTTTCTATGATCTCATAAATTATATTGTATCATTATTAATTAAATTGGTTTTTTTTTTTAAATTTTTGTAAGTTTAGATAAAAGAAATATATTAAAATTTCTCAATTTTTAAGAGTATCGTAGCAATTTCTTATATTTATTTATGCTGATTGTTGAGTCAACAACAGTATATATTAATTATGGATTTAAAAAAGAAATAGCGATTTGAGGATCTCACTAGAAACAGAAGAAAATGAGACATGAGACATGCGACGTGGAGCCTCTGATTCCCATAGTTTGGGTGGATGAGGAATTAAAGTAAATTTATATTCGAAAACATTTTAAAAAATGGAAAAAAGATTTGAAAAGGAATAAGCGTAGAAGAGGAGAGAGGAAAAAGATGTGGTGTTGCGAAGTTGCAATCCCAAAGCACGCGGCTCTTGTTCCCTCCGTCTCAGCCACCTCATGGCGGCGGGGCCACGGCGTCTCCGCCAACGCGAGCCAACAAGGTGGGAAATTGGGTCAGACCCTTCTTGCGACTCTCCAATCGGAATCAAGTCGGATTCCGAAAGCACAGCATGAAGGCGAGATTAGTGGGTCAGATGTGCTTTGGGCGCTGCAGAGAGCAAGTGCTCGGAAGAAGAAGAAGAAGAAGAAAGAGCATGGAAGGGGGTCATCCTCTGTGCCCACACCCACAGAAGAAACCACTCCGGACTACACCAATGTTCGCCCACTCCGCATAAACGCAAATTGGTCCGCCAAATTGGATCAATTCGACAAACGTCTTCGTCAGCTTTCAGATACTATTTGATTTCACCCTTCCTATTTTATACATCAACCTTTTTTTTTTTTTTTTTAACCTTTCACAATTATTTAATATAGATTTTTTTTTATAAATATAGTAATTGCTTGATTTTGTGTCACTTGATTGTTAGAGCTTTTCTCATGTTTTGAAATATATATTTGTCATTCAGTTATATCAGTAACATCATTTTTTGTTGATACAACTGAACTTCTGTAGTTCTATGCATGCATGTGTTCGGAACTGGAGTTTGTGTGTCAAAAATTGTAATTTCCAAAGGTTATCCATATTCCCTATCTGCTTTGTTGATGCCTTCCTTTGAGATCGATTTTCTAGTTATATTCAACGAAAATGCATGTAGATTGAGAACATCTGTTTAAGAACACCTTTTGTAGTCCTATAATCCTACATTTGACCAGTTCCCTGTAAAATCCTGAAATTGACTCCTTTTTAATCATTCATTTTATTAGTTCAGAAATAAAATATGCAAAATAGCTTGATAAGTTTGCAGGATACAGCATTTAGATTAAGGCTTTAAGCAAACAAGTTGCAGTGATCGAGAAATATAGAGGTAATGAGCAGAACTGTCTGTATGCACTTAAATGCTTCTCTCCCATCAACAAAGTGAAAGATGGTGAACCTGTTACTGGGGTTTGACGACTCTGTCTGTCAAAGTATTATTCAAGTCAATCCATTTCTTATGTATGAAAGGAACTGGTTGTGTCGGATAAGTAAAACGCAAATGCATATTGGTGATTTGAAGCATTTAACAATACCAGCTTTGCGAGCAACCATGTATTCGTCAATGGATGGGTTTATATAATAACAATACATGAAGAAAACAAGTAAAGCCATTTTCATTCTGAGCATATTTTTAAAAGAACAACCATGTAAGCAGGGGCGTGAATGTTTGTGAAATTTGAGAAAGCGTAAAAACTTCGTTTGGAAAGTGAAAGAGCAAGTATCTCGGATGATTTACTGCCGCATGCTTACGTTCTTCAATGTTTCACGAGTTTCGACTCGTCTAATTGAAGCGAATATCGTTTTCTCTCGTTTTTTCTTTAATTGCATTGTATTATCAACAATGATTGTCATTTTGTTCAATCGTCATTGCCATACAGATATAAAAAAGAAATTACTTTAATTTCGGCCATGATCAAATCCACTCATGAAAATCAAACCAGCCACCTAGTACTTTAGTGATATATTTTTCTTTCATGTGTTTTTCACTGAATTAGCTATGTTGCGGCGCTAATTTATTTATTCATTCGTTCATTTTTTATAATTTTGTTTTTATTTTGACCGAATGCATTTTCAGAATGGAAACGACTTTGGTTTTGGTTTCAGACTGTAGTAAAGTAGCATAATTAGCATTGCTATTGTATTATCAAAGCTCGCAGAAGAGCACCATTTAGAGCATGAAAAAAGAGCAACAAAACCGGTATAGTTGCTGAAGCCAAATTAACACAATTTTCTACTGGTTGTCAATAAAAAAAAATGCCAAAAAGCATTACAAGCAGAAAAGATAGCAATTACTCTGCCGTGACTCATCTAACAGCAATAGACACCAACATTAAACAGTTAAATAGAATATCATTGGTCCTAATCCTAACTTTCTCTTTAAAATTTCTCTTTTCTCCCCCTTTTTATGGGATAGGGATAGGGATTGTGAAGGGATTTCCTGTCAATGCATAGCAAATGGATTACACGTCCCTGGTTCCCAAAGTCTCCTCCTCACCAAGACAATTGGGAGGCAAGACATCGCAATTATCTGTCTTCTATCCCTAATAGGGTCGATACCTTCTATTTCGATTGCCTTCATCATTGCCACTACCTCCTCCTCCTCCTCGCCCTGGCTGCCCACTTGGACCATTGCTCCGATCAATTCTACGGGGTCGGGAAGGTGGCACCTGTACACCAGGTTGCTGACTGCAGCATAACCCCAATATAAAGATCATGGTATGATATCAAATAATATAGGGTAATGAAACTATGTACATGAGTTCTAACAACTTACAGGACATAGCCAATTCGACCATCTGGTAACACCATTGGAACCATTTGCATTCCAGCTGGCATTGGACCCCTACCATATATCATTGGCTGTTCAAACATACATAAGAACCCACAAGATCCAAACATATTAGAACCAAGAATAGAACAAAAATGAAACCCATCAATTATGAATATATGTTGTAACTCGCTATGTACCTGTTGATAACCACCAGCAACACCATATCCAGCCCCTAAAGAGCCGTAAGGGTTTCCAGAAAAGTTGCCGTATGCAGGATGTGGAAGATGATTTGGATGAACTCCAGGATTGTAGGCATAACCTCCATCAGGTTTTTTATCAGTTTGAGGCTTAGCAAGAACAACTTCAAGCACTTGGCCTGCAGTTCAAATCCATTAAACATATTTAAGTGAACATACATACTGAATATATTCGAAGAAGAACACCTTTTAATGATAAGAACACCAGTGACACTTGCAGCGTCAAAATTGGTATATAACTTTCCAGTATAAAACAAGTACCATCAATTTCATATTTCTCTGTCTCTTTTACAGCTTTCAATGCACTTGACCTCTCTGCATAATGAATGAAACCAAAATCGCGTTTCCCTCCAGCTTTGCCAGGCGGCATGACCACTTTAGTTACTTCTCCATGACGGCGGAATAATTCCTTTAGTTGTTCAGTGGTAACATTCTCTGGTATGTTTTTGACATATAGAGCTTTAACCTGAAAATGCCAGACACAAAAATAGTTTGAAAGCAAAACCACAATTAACTAAGTAGTTCCTCATAGGCTCATACACCACAAAATACATAATATAAACACATCCACATTTATGATGCTTTCAACAACAATCAACATCAATGCCTTTCTTAAACAAAACCAGCATTCTGTACAAGTCTCAATAATAGTAATTTCGCCAATACAACAGTCCATAGACTGAAGAGTAAATCAAGACACTGGATGTTTCTGAATTCTGTCCATTTACATGCATGCAAATGATTGAGAAACAAGCCAAGAAACAGAAAAAATTGATAGAAGGGACGTGAGATGAAACTTAAATTGATTGAAAGGGTTAAGGCTATGTTTACACAATCCAATTATGAGCTTATTTGTGCCACAAGGATAGCTTCTTAATTGCTAGAACAGTAGTACTTAACTAACAACCAATATAACAACATTCAATTTAACCAATCAAACGTGGCAATAGATCCTAGCAAGCTTAACAATGAGCACTAAGCATTCCTACCTGGGGATGAACAAAACTCCACTCAATAAACAAATATTAATTAAAAAAAAAAAAAAAAAAAAAGCCATGCTGTAATCACATTGGCTAATAAGAAAATCAGAAAATATGTGAATTAGAATCAGCAATAACCAAGGAGCGTAGCTCATAGAAATCTTCAACCAGTCTATAGGCACACTTGGTATTCTTCTAGAGTCACCATGGCACTTATTAAAAGCAAATTACGACTTTCCGGACCCCAAATAACATCACAATTAACAACCCTAAATGTGGGAATAATAATCTTAATGCCGAACTGAGTAGACTTAACAACCAAAGACATTAGCTGTCAAAGTTTAACAACCTAAGGCAGTGGCAAACCAATACTGAATATAAAAAGATGTATTCCAGATGATTTTGAAGATTTTGATAGTAGCACATGGAAGCATATATCCGATAGGAATCTCTGAAGGAATTGAATAGAAGAAAAGATCCTTTTTTATTGATTGAATGAAATTGACAGAATAAAGGACAGAAAAAACTCTCCTCCAAGTGTTTCCCCTTCACAAAGAGCAACCCCTTTCCTTACAACTGAGTACTTGCTCAATTCCCTCCAAATACAAGGTTCCTGAATGATCCCCTTATCCTTACTCCCTCCATATATTTAACTAATCCTGTCTAGCAAACCAATTGTTCTAACTATCTAAAGTAACTACCTTATTTTCCTTTTATTCTTCCAAGCAACTACCCTTCTGTCATTAACAATATCACATGAAAGCATTAAGTCAACAGAATAGAGAAGAGAATAGTGAATCAAATTACTTCCTGGTAGGGGGGAATTAGAAATATCATGACAGATAAATTCATGCCAAAAAAATCTGACTGAAACAAAATATATTTCAAAGAGAAGGGAAAAGAGCAAACTCAAGAATCGGGGAGAGCAGAGGGGAATGTTCCCTAGAAAATAAAGAACATGTGAGAAAAACAGCTGCAGAGAAATTAAAATGAAGGGAAATATAGGAAAAATTAGGATTAAGTTTCAGAAAAAATAGAGGGGGGGAAAAAACAAAAAGGAGATGATGCAATTGAAAAAAGCTCAAGGTGTGTAGTGTATGATTTTATTTACCATGTTGAGAAACATGGCAAGAGCAAAATAAGATTGAGAGAAGAAACTGAAATAGATTGAATGAGTAAGGTTGTGCTGACAAAATACCATTATAAGCTTATACAGAGAAGCTTTCAAAATCAAATGGCTTGCTTTCAAAATCTAACAAAATCAACTAATCTAACCAATTAACCTCATGTAAAATGCTATTAAATGTTTTTCATCAACCATCATAAATGACCATTATCCAAAGCTACCAAGCTCAACTGAATGAAACACTCAATTACATATTGCTTCCATAAATCTTGAGTTGCTTTGATAGCATCCTTGATAGATTTCTACAGAATAGCAATCAATCATCTCTCTATCATCCAATAAAAGGAATCAGACTTGGAACACTGCAACCCTCATCGATGAGCTAGAATCTCATTTTATCTCAAATCAAACAGTAAACCTCAAGCAATCATGTCTTTAGAAAATCTAGGAACCCTTTTAGGTAGAGGGTTAAAATGTACCCTTAGAGGGACTTTATACCAGGATTCAGGATCTAGCAATTTCCACAGAGACCTAGTGCCACTTGAGATAAAACTCTTGGCATGACTCGGATCATTTATTCATATACTTAATGCAAGATTAGGAAGATCAGAGTTGAAACATAACAGAAAGGAGTAGCTACTACCAGTTCTTCACATTCTGCATATAAAATTTGAGCCAATAATGACCAAGTCCACCTAGTAAACATGAACCACCAATGAGGATCATGGCTTAATAGATATGATCAAATTGAGTTCACAAGCAGGTCATATATTTAAATCCTGCTGATGGTCCTTGGTTGATAGGCCATCTGTAAGTAACACAGTACAACTGCAAGTCCTCATTGAAACTTGGAAATTGTGACCATGGAATAAGGAAAACTCATTTCCCCATCAACCTTTTTATTACCAAAAATAATTTGTAAATAATAACGAGTTTCTTTCCTTTGTATTTTTTTTAAGAGATGACACATCTTGCTCAAATTGACATCTCGAAAATGTAGCTTAGGGAATCACGGTACCTAAATCAATAAATTTCCCCAACGCCAAATGGGTTTTCCTTAGTTGCTGAGATCTATATCAAAAACATAATGAAACTTGGAAATACCCATTGGCAAGGGTTCTGCAGGGTGGGAACAAAAAGCAGAAAAAGAGGAAAATAGCCAGAGAAGGGAAGCAAGTATTATCCCCTATAAGTATCCAATCAAACATTTGATGCAATGATAAGAAAAGGCAATTAGAACTGTTCACAGCACTACATTCAATTTTAATTCAAGGAATTACCTGTGAAGAAGCAGAATGATCAGGTGAGTTCTTTGGATCTGCCCATGTGACAGTTGGGGTATTACCATCCAACTTAAAACTCCCACTTGCCATCTTTTGCCGAGAATAATCAGCACATGCATTATTGTAATACAAAACAAAAGCAAACCCACGATTCCTACTTGGATTTTGAGGGTCCTGATATAAACAAAATAGAGCAGGAATAAGAAGGTGGGCCAGACAACATTTAAATATAAGTTAAACGCAGTTATTCAATATTGCACCTTAATGAGCTCAATGTTTTCAACTCCAGGACCAACACCTTCAACAACTTTCCTAAACTCATCTTCAGTCCATGTTTTTGGAACATTACCAATGAATAATCTGTGTTTGGTTTCAGAAAGTGAACACCTCAAAGTTTTTCCCTGATATCATGAAAAGTGTCACATGAAATACCAAAATAAGATTCTTGATTGAAACTTGTCTTGAAAATTGATTATAGTGACCAAGATTTTTAGGAGGCACCATAAATACCTTAAATTCCTTGTTATGTATCTCTTCAATAGCTCTTTGCGCTACCTCTTTTGTTTTAAAGGCCACAAAGGCATAACCCTTGTTTTCTCCAGTGTCCCTGTCTTTCATTAATCGCACCTGAAAAGTAACGATAAATAAAAATCTTACTAATAATCCCAATTTTCACGCATCTGTGGAAAAGGACAGGTTTGTAATGTCATTAGAAGAGTAATTCATCCAGGCTCTGACCTCAAGAATATCACCCATTGGCTCGCACAATTCCCTTAAATCATCTTCACATACATCCCGAGGAAGTCCACCAATAAAGACTTCAGAACCATGAGGTGGAAGGGCAAGAAGTTCATCATGCTTCTCCTTCTCATCCTCATCAAACAAAGATGGTTTTTGCTCATCATCACCAAATTCAGTGGCAATGTCACTTTTTTCTGCTTTAAGCAGTTGATCTTTCCCACCAGCCTCAGCTGCTGAATCCTCATATTCATGCTCTTCAGCACTACCTTCAGCATTTTCATCTTCACCTCCATCCACTCCGTCGTCATCTATTTGTTCTTCAACATCGTCATCCATCTCTTCCATATAATTTTCCTCATCGAGGTCCACACGCTCATCGATTTCTGCACCTTCTGACATGATCGGTTCAGGCTTTTGTCATAAACAGCTGAATACCTGCAGGTTCACACGTTAATTACAAAATCTGTACAGAACAGTAGGACTTTCAGGCCACCAGGTTTTAAGGTAAGTGCTTTTTCAGAGGGGGAATAAATCTTTATAGGGCTATTAAAGTGGACGCATAAGAATGGCATACTGCCTGCCAGTGCCAGATAGACAACCCAGCAACATCACTAAATGCCCCCATTTGACCAGTAGGTAACTGAATTGGGACCCTAGGGTTTAGTTATGTTTGAAAGTGGAATTTGAGAGGGAAGGGGAAGGCATATAAGGAGGGTTTACATTGATTGGAGCTTTTTAAAATGGGGAACAGAATTGGGGATCTTTCAAAACCCTAGCTTCCCCAATTTGGTGGGGTTTGTAGAAAAATTCCTTAAGTGACTCAGTTATCCCGGCCAACATTTGTAAATTCCACCATCATATTCATGCTCTCTCTGATTCATCTGCAAGATGTAGAAACCCTAGCACTCCCTCATCCATGTTCATCTTTTCAGTGCCAGGAACATCTATCACCACTGGTATTGGCGACGAACTAGCAGTCTAGCAGATGCAACAGCAGCACCAGCACCAGCACCGGCAAGTTTTCCTGTGAGTGTAGGCCTAGAGATGGACATTCTCCAGCAGGGGGACATGATAGACCTGGTTCTCGGGGATCTGGATGACACAGGTTCCCACTGGCAGCTAGGTTTCGAAGCAAGGGTGGATTTTGTTCCTTCATTCCCTTCCCGTAACAGGCAAAAACACCCCCAGCAACACTCGAATTGGGGAAAATTCCGTACCTAATTGTTAATTTTGTTCTTCACCTACTCAAGTTCTAATTCTACACAATGAAATGGGGGTAATAGGCATTTTTAAAAATTGTGATGTATAGAGACACAATTGCATGTTTGTCCAATGTGGAACAGAGGAATGCGAACAAATCGAATCAGCCATTAAAACTAAACAAGGAAAATAAAGAAGCAGACATGCAAATCTTGTGCAGAAAAAACCCTGGAAGGTTAGAGTTAAACCCTGTGACGTGAGTGGCAGAAGAGAGCAGAGAATTGTGACATAGCAAAAAGAAAGAGTAGATTGAGGCCGAAATAGGCGATATGGGAAGGTTTAGAATTGGATCGAAAGAAGAAGTGGGGCGAAGAAAAAGAGGCATATTTATTGAAGGAAAAGAAAAAGGAGTGATTTTGCATAGCATACCAGTACTATGAAATGAGGGGTTTTCGGATTTGCTTCTGAGTGGGTTCGGTTGTTTGATGCTTCTTCTTCTTCTTCCCCTGTGTGTGGCCGCACAGAGAGAGAGAGAGAGAGAGAGAGAGAGAGAGAGAGAGAGAGAGAGAGAGACTCAGATATGTGTGTGTTTATCCGGCGAACCCTCTTTTCCAGATGGCCCTAATAGACAACAATAAGAAACGCTCGTTCTCACTACACGCACTTGCACCCGCACCCTCCTCCAATCATTCTTTTCCACGTGTCCCCACACTCTCTTGCCTTCACAGTAATGTATACAGTCAAATCACGTTTTAATTTTAATGTTAAAATAATGTATGTACGCCGTAACATTGAAATATCCGGATTTTTTAATATATTCTTAAATATATAACTTTGTATTTTTATATATGGATCAATATTTATTTTATATAATTAAAATTACATTTTAATCTTAAAATAACTAATACGGTAAAATTGAACTGTCTGAATTGTTTAAATTAAGGTAATGTTTTATTAAAGTTGAAAGCGTATTTTTACGAATTTTAATGTAAATTTGGGATTTTAGTGTATAAATAAGGAATGAAAATTTTGTTATTTTGATAATAAAATTATTTATAAGCTTTTCAAACTAAAATCTAAACATCAAATATTTTTTAAAAATTAAAGTTAACTAGTATTTTAATATGTACAATATACAGATAACATGTTTATTATATATAATTAAAATTTAAAATAAAATATGTATATAAATAGTATTATATGAGAATATATACATTATATTATAAAATTAAAAAAAATTCTTAAAATTTTTCTATTTGAAGAATAATCTATATACACTATCATACAAGATAGTAGTTCATGTTTTATATATAGGAATAGATTTTGATAAATAGAAGATTTTTACATAAATAAATATTAGTATTTTAGTCCATATAGTATATAAGATAAATATTTTATTTTATATAACTGAAATTTATATTAAATATATAATTTTTAAATACATAAATTATAATATAATTTATATTTATAATAATTAATATTTTAATATATATTATATTTTAAATTTATGTCAAACAAATTATATTATGCTGAAAGGTTATTTTTAATATTGATAATTTAAAAATATTAAATTTTAATTTAGAATAAATATTAAAAACATTTTTTTAAAACGTGGTTATAAAAATATTTCTAAAAATTATTTTATTAAAAAATAAATCTGGTTGAAAAATAATTCCTAAAAGTAACTATATATATATATATATAATTTTTTATTTTAATTGTTAAATTTACTAAATATATTATACCTAATGATATATATAACTATCAATAGTAGTTAGTCATTGCACTATAACTATGAAAAAATGTGATTAAATTTAAAATCAATCATAACAATATATTATAAGATAATGTTATTATTTTTATTACATTTACCATCATCACTTTGATCATTATAGTTGTCATTATTGTTGTCATAATATGATAGTAATAGCAATAATAATATTTTATTTAAAATATTTTATTTACTTCAATTGAGTCTAACTGTACGACATTGTATTTAAGTAAACTCACTAAAAATATATATATAAATTTTGTTCTAATGGTGTTTCTTAATAAGGAAATCACTCTTTCACACACACACACACACACATATACAATGATTTTTTTATTCATGAGCTATTATATCTTATAAAATATGAAACTTATTTTAAATTATTCTTACGGTTTGTTGGACCAAAGGATATGAGAGGAATGAAAGAATTTTAATGGAGGGGAAGGATAGGGATAGGGTTAAAAATTTTATTTAGTTGAGAAAAGAAAAAAAAATGAGAGACTTTAATGGAGAATTAAAAAAGTAGTTATTTTCTTACTTGGCTCACACGAAAAGAGGAAAGATTTTAAAAATCAACTTATGTTTGCATCCTTGCAATTTTAATTTTAAAAATATAAGTAAGAATATTTTAAATATTTTTCTAAAAATGTTTTAAAAATAAGAATTTTCATCGAATACAAAGTAAAAGAGAATAATGTTTTTAGATAGTATAAAATAAAATTTACGAAAGTGAATATGGATATTAACCAATTACAAAAATATATTTAGATATAATAACCAATCATTTATAATAAATTTATAGTGATGTAAATTGGGATAAATATAAATTAAATTTGTTAATCTAATACTTTATACATCCTTAACTTTTATTTCTTTCTATTTTTTCTTTTCATCACATCATATCACCTATCATTTCTATATTTTGTTATATATTCTCTCATTATCTCATTGGTATCTAGTAACATTTCGGGTGTCCAATTTTTTTTTCAATAAATAAACCTCATTTGATAGGGTGTTGTATAATTTCGTTCTTTCACAACATTGATCAACTAGTTCATCAATTTTAGCATTGAAACAAACTAAATTATGATATGATAACAAATTAAACATTTTTCCTTTTCTAGAAAAGATAATCGCTATTTTAAAGAAGCAAGACTACAGAAAACAAAAGGTAACAAATTATCCCAAATCATCCATAGTTCATCCTTCACATCATCTGCCTTGGTTTTCTTAACATCAAGTGTACAAACCTTTGCTTCCTTGTAAATTCTGCTTGGTCTACAAAAGTAGCCGTTATTTGGTGCACAGTGACTATATTGTGAGCAAATATACAACCCTTCCAATGCACACCCATTATTCATTATATTGTCACCCCGTCTTTAAGTCCAAGCACTTGGTTTGTCCACTCGCTAGAGAAAAGTCCTGGTGGGTCATACTCCTTTTTAACTTGCAAAAATTTATCAGCATCACGATACTTGTTGATTGTTCCATAAAATCCTAAGTTTATATTTTACCCCTGTGGGGATAACCCCCATATTTAAACAATCCAATTTGTTCTATCTCTTTAAGTATGTATTGGAATAGTGTGTTTGGATAAAGAATTTTATAAATTCAATAAATTTTAAATTCTTGATATTTAAATTATTTTGATTTTAATTTTTATCATTCTTAAAATATTTTGTTTGGATGAGTTAATTCAAATTTCTTAACTTTTAAATTATTAGGTTGAATATGATAATTTGATTCCATCATAGTAAAATCGATTTAAAAAATATATTTATATGTTGAATTTTTAAATTAAATTTTATAAAAATAAATATTAATTCATTTTTAAATATTTAATAAATTTAAAATTAATATTAAATAATATTTAAAAATTTAAAAATATTTTTGAATATTCAATAATTAAAAGAATGAAGAGATAAGATAAAATATATAAATGAAATAAGAAAAACAAATATGAGAAATTTCAAATTCTCCTATTTTTGAGAGAATTTGAAATTCTACTATTTTAAGGAATTTCACAAATGCTTTAATTTCAAATTCTTTATAAATTTTCCATCCAAACAAAATATTTTATCTCAAAAAATTTGAAATTCTTCAAATAAATGAATTACCCTATATAAATTCTCCATCCAAACACACCATAAGAGTCATCATGTCTTTACTATGGTAGTATGTGATATCAAAATCCATAGCATCCTCTCATTTTTCAAGGTAAGCACTAGAATCTGTAACATAACGCATAAGGATTCCATATGCAGTTTCTAAACCAAAGTTTTTTCGCATCTTCGATGAACTTGTTTACCTTAGACAAAGAAATGTTAAACGATGTTTAGTGAAACAATTCCTCCTTGATTCTAGAGTCCCATGGACGTAGTAGGAATTCATATTATAATAGTGAGATTGAGATATTTTATATTTTTATTTATTTTCATAAAAAAAATTAGAAGTAATCATGTACCAATTATAATAAGAGATGAGAAAAAAAAGAAGGGAACTGAAAGCAATTGTGTAAGTAGTACAAAATTTTCACTTACAATATTTAATAATGTTCAGAGACTAAAACGTAAAAACAGAAAAATTGAATATAAAGAAATTAGTTTATCTTTTAAAAAAGTTATGAAAGACAAAATAATCTCATTAAAAATAAATGTAAAAAACTGTTACAAAATAAGATATCATCTTTAATATATTATATATAAAGTTCCTTTCTATAATTTCAAGCTCACATCAACTCATATTAGCCGCCCCATATTTATTTATAACAATTTTTACCTCTTTGTAATGTCTCAATTTGATTAAAATAAATAACTCAAAACTTAGCTATGTAAAGGTAAGTAATGAAGGATTGGGATAAAATGGATAAACCATAACCATAAGCTAAGAAGTTGGAATGTTATTGCTGTTATTCTAATTTTAATTCTCACAAAAAAAAAATAGAAGCTAACAAGTTTTTTAATAGAAGTAGTTAACTAAAAACCGAAAATTATTAAGTTAATTAATTAAATTAACAGTATTTGATTAAAAATTTAAATATATTTTTAGTCCCTCAAATTTAAGGTAAATTTATTTTTAATCTTTCAAATTTAAAATTCATCTTTTTAATCTTTCTAATTTTAAAAAAATTGTTTTAGTCTAAACTCAAATTTTGTTAAGAAATTTGTCAAATATTATTATATAAAATCTAATTATTGATGTCACTGTTAGTAAAAATATCACAATAAATCCAATTTATATTGCATAATTGTCTCAACCTATCACTTTTAGATATATTATTAGTAATAGTAATCTAAGAGACTAAAACAAGATTTTTAAAAATTAAATAAATAAAAAAATAACAATTTTAAATTTGAGACTAAAAACATAGTTAAACCTTGATTAAATTATTTGTTAAAACAACTAATAAACATAAAATAATATAAATATACATATTTCATTATATGATATTTTCGATAATTTTAATTTTATTTTATAGAAAAAAATACTTGAGTTATTATATTTTTAATTCTCATATTAAACATCAATTGTTTTAATTACATTTTCTTGACCTAGTGATTGGGTGGAAAATGATTGAGGTAATTAGAAGTATGAGAACCTAGGTTCAATCTTTATTGTGACTATTTTTATAATTTTTTCTATCTTTTCCAAAAAAAAAAATTACATTTTCTTGTCTCTCTCCCTCTTTTTCTCTCCATGTTAATTATATTCTTAACTCCATTATTCTATTAATAATCCATTTGTTACACTTGTTAATATCTCAGACGAGTACAAATCTTTGCTTCCTTATAGACTTTGCCTGGTCTACAAAAGTAGCCCTTGCTTGGTGCACAATGGTTGTCCTGTGAGCATATACACAAACCTTCTAATGCGCACCCATCCTTTGATATTGTTACCCCTTCTTTTAGACCAAGCACTTGATCTGTCCACTCACTAGAGAATAGCCCTTGTGAATCATACTCATCTTTGACCTTTAAAAACTTCCCTGCATTTTTGTACTTGTTCATTACACCTTCAAACGCTACGTTCCTGTTCTTACCCCAATGGGGTAAGCCTCCATATTTGAAAATTCCTAACTGCTCAATCTCTTCAATAATGTCTTCATTTAGCCTAGGAGTCATTGGGTCTTTGCTACGGTAGTATGTGATATCAAAGTCTATGGCATCCTCTTGCTTCCCCAAGTAAGCACTTGAAGCCTTCACATAACGCATTAGAATTCCGTTATAGATCTCTATTCCACAAAATCCCTTTGGTTCCAATTCAACTAGTTTTTGCACATCTTCAATGAAGTTCTTTACCACAGACAAACCAATGCTAAATGCAGTTTGGTGAAAGAACTCTCCTTTGACTCTGAAGTCCCAAGGACATGATGTGATCTTTGCATTCATATCAACATCTAGGCATGACCCAGAAGCCTGAAGGTGGTGATGAAATCCAACTACAGGGAATCCAGTGAAGATTACACCTACAGAAACCAAATATAAACAAATGGTTCTACTTCTTTGAGTAATGGAGAAGAAAAAAAGTAAAAGTGCTTCAAAAATAAGTGCTCATTTGACTGAAATATATAAATAAAAATTAAAATAAAATAAATAAATAAAAAACTCAGTACCATTGTTAGTTAGTCCATAAGCAGTAGCCATAAGGGTACTAGTTGCTATCTTTGCGAGGGAGCATTTCCCGTCTACATCACCAATTGGCTCCTGAGCATCCTCTGCAGTAAGTACCCAAAAACAAAAAGGGGTAGAGACCATTATAATTCATTTTCACGTGTTTTCTGGTATATACCAGCTCATGTTAAGGTTTTTAAGTTCCTTATAATTACGTACCTTTGTTGAGAACGTACTTCATATAACTTTTTGGGTGAAAATCCGATCAAACATCCACTCTTCAATTTCTCACATTTATACTTCTTATTTACTTAATCGAGCACATTTTTAATTTAGATAACATTTTCAAGACAATAAAGCAAAAAACTGACCTGTGGTTCTGATGAGTGCTAATTCAAGTGAGGGAGTGGAACGGAAAGGGATGAAATCATAGACACCACTGCCTGATGTATTGATGGGCACACGATCATCAACACGGTATACAGCCCTGTGTTGATTTGGGTACCAAAATATATCTGCAAACTCATGTTGTTGTCCAAATGCTGCAGCTTGATCCCCCAAATCTGAATCGTTTTTGGTCAAATAGGTAATGGATCGCTTGAACAGAGGTTCTAGTCTCAAAGTAATCTGCTAAAATCATAGACATATCAGCATAAGGGGCGGGGGTTATCTGCATAATCCTTTTTTTCCAACAAAAATGCCATACCACCCCCAATTTAGGATGTCGTAAAGACTTATTAATATAGCAAGGTTAGGTTATCAAGTATATATATATATTTTTTAAATACATTTTTAGGTTTTATAATTTTATTTATTTTAGGTTATCAAGTATCCTTGGAAGGTGCTGAAGTGGCGACAGCATAAGACACAGTAGACAGTATTTAGTTTTAATTAAAAGGATAATTGAGATTAATTTAAAAAATTAAAAAGTTATACCTGTGAAATGAGGCCAAGCAAGCCGAGTGAGAGTTTAGCTGCATGGAGATGTGGATGTTGTTGAGTTAGAATCTGAAGCTTAGCATAGCCGTCTTGGGGACCCGCAGGCGTAACAATTCTAAGTTCCACGACACGTTCATGAACCGAACTTCCTTTCCCCCACAAGGAGCTTCCATGAGCCCCTGTTCCCAAAATGCCCCCCATGGTTAAACCCCACCAATACGGCGTGTACGGCAACGCCAACCCCGCCTTCGCACTCTCTTCTATGACCTGCTTCAGTGTCACGCCACTCTGCACCGTTATGCTCTTTGCCTCGGCGTCAATTTCCAACACCCTGTTCAGATATTTGGTGCTTATAAGCCACCCCTTTTGGCCATCTGGGCACACCCACTTGGGGATGCTGTGGCAGAAACGTGTCGCCACTTTCACCTTCTTTTTTCTTTCACTCGCTGACGCTACCACTTTCACCACCTCTTCCTCGTTTCTCGGGTAAAACACTCGTTCCGCTTCGCAAATGCTTCGATCGGGGAACATGCCGTACGAGTTTGTGACGGTGCAGCTTGTGTTTGTGTCCTCTGAGGAGCACTTTATCGGATCCTCCGGCGTGGGGAGTGCCAAGTGGAAAAATAAGAAGAAGAAGAAGAAGAAGATGGGAAGAGTGAGGTTTAAGCACAAGAATGCCATGGCAATTTCTTTTATCTTTTAGAATGCTCATGTTTCTCGGTTACATATAGACGGGGCATGGTCATGAATCATGATCGGTGTCGATTGCGAGCTGAAGAAGGAAGATGCAAATATCCGTACCACGTATCAAGTAGGTAAGGATTATTTTTACTCCACGAAACTACATCAGATCTCTCCATTCTTTTATTTTAATTACATTTGATAAAGGTTTAAATATAGTTGCCCTTACATTCTTCTTTAGATAATCATATTATAATTTAAAATTCTATTTTTTTATTCCTTATTTTTTTATTCTTTTTTACTTTTTACAGTATAATATAATTTTTTTATTTCATATATTTGTATTTTTTTATTTTTTATTTTTTTAACAGTAACTTTTTTTTATCAATGCAATAAAGATGTTAATTCAATTTTTTTATATATTCGATGTTGAATATATTTTACTAAAAATATTTTAAATTATATCTTTGACATTTTGTGTATCTTAAATATCTTTATCTATGATGTCGTTCATTGTTGAGACATATTTTTTACTTTCACAAAAATAAAAATCTTTATCACATTAAAATAAAATAGATAATATTGTAAAAAAAAATAATGATAGAAACTAAAAAAAAAAAACCATAAATATAAGGATTAAAAAATCTATTTTAAATTAAAGAGACTAAAAAATTAAAAATATAAATATATAAATTAAAAATATATTTTAATTATAAAGATTAAAATGTAATATAAGTAAAATTATAAGAAAAAAAAAACATTTTAATCCTTGTTAAATTAGACGTTTCAATAGTTTAAGGGTGTTGTTCACTTGGTTCAACTCAGATTTTATCTAACCTATTGGAACTACTTTATATGAATTTCTTTTATCAAATACAAACCAAATAAAACCCAGTTTAATAATATGCTGGTTTGGATTGGAAAAACTCAACAAAAATAATTTAAAATTTTAAAATATTTCTATTTTTACAATTTTAAAATAATATTTTGATATGACTTTTGAATAATGGTTTTATATATATATATATATATATTTTTTTTTTTTTGTTCATTCTTTGCAAATCAATTTCTTATCCTATTAATAAAATATCACATCATGTAAAATCTTTTATAAAGCCTTTTTAAATAATAAACAGTATTTTTAAAAGTAGTAATAAACATTGTGAGTGCACTTTTATGATTAGTATACTATCTCGTGAGAATCTTGTAATTGTGTTATACGTGTATATTTTGTTTTCCGAATTTATTTATTAAAATTAATATAAATAAATAAATTTAAAGTATGTTATGTGGACTAATAGTTAATGGGATACTAAAAATTTAGCTATTTTTTGGCCTCTATTTTATAAGATTTTTTTTCATAACAAATTCTTAGAATAGTGGATTAAGTCTAACTCAACCCTACAAAACCGGTTTGTAAGGTGAGGGAGGGTTGTTTTCCACTTATATACTATTCAATTGCCTAATCTCTAGTCGATGTGAGACTTGAGTTTTTTCCAATACACCCCCTCACGTCTAGCACTATTGGGCTTGGTACGTGGATAAATGGTGGGTGACCCTTTTAATGATCTAGGATTGGCGGGACTTGGGTTTTTCCCAATACACCCCCTCACGTCCAGCACTATTGGGCTTGGTACGTGGATAAATGGTGGGTGACTCTTTTAATGATCTAGGATTGGCGGGACTTGGGTTTTTTCGAATACACCCCCTCACGTCCAGCACTATTGGGCTTGGTACGTGGATAAATGGTGGGGGACCCTTTTAATGATCTAGGATTGGCGGGACTTGGGTTTTTCCCAATACACCCCCTCACGTCCAGCACTATTGGGCTTGGGACGTGAATAAATGGTGGGTGACCCTTTTAATGATCTAGGATTGGCGGGACTTGGGTTTTTCCCAATACACCCCCTCACGTCCAGCACTATTGGGCTTGGGACGTGAATAAATGGTGGGTGACCCTTTTAATGATCTAGGATTGGCGGGACTTGGGTTTTTCCCAATACACCCCCTCACGTCCAGCACTATTGGGCTTGGGACGTGAATAAATGGTGGGTGACCCTTTTAATGATCTAGGATTGGCGGGACTTGGGTTTTTCCCAATACACCCCCTCACGTCCAGCACTATTGGGCTTGGGACGTGAATAAATGGTGGGTGACCCTTTTAATGATCTAGGATTGGCGGGACTTGGGTTTTTCCCAATACACCCCCTCACGTCCAGCACTATTGGGCTTGGGACGTGAATAAATGGTGGGTGACCCTTTTAATGATCTAGGATTGGCGGGACTTGGGTTTTTCCCAATACACCCCCTCACGTCCAGCACTATTGGGCTTGGTACGTGAATAAATGGTGGGTGACCATTTTTAATGATCTAGGATTGGCGGGACTTAGATTTTTCCCAATACAAATATATCATATACGTTTATTTATAATAATAGACTCGATTAATTTATTTGTAAATAAATTTACAGTGCAATTCAAATTTCTAATCAAAATCTCTTCACACTTTTTTCAAGATGGAGTCAACTTCATTGTTCATAATTTTTTTAAATGTTATAACTTTGATAATTTGCCGACAATCAAATTCAACAACTTGAATGATATTCATAAATGTAATTCATGTCAATCCATTGAAAAAAGTCATTGCTCCTACCTCCAAAGGTGTAACATTGCCTTGATACCAACTAGTTAAAGTTAAAAAGAAATTTTCATTGTGATCATAGATGTAAGTTATCGTAATCGTAGTGTTTAAAATTGGTAAAAACAACATTGATATTGTAATTTAGTATTCCAACAAAATGTCTCTCCCAAAATGAAATAACGTGATTCAAGGTTGTAATAAGAAACTCATTTATTTTCTTCTATCTTGTGCAAACTTCCAATTACAAATCATTTGCATGACCAGGTTAAAAAGGAAAGTTGTTTTAAAGTTCACATTATTCCACACTTTATCATTTCTTCCCTTCTATATACACCAAAACTCGTAAATCAAATTTTCTTTTTCTCTTGTAATTAGAATTGCAAGAGCCTGCAAAATAATATTCTTGAAACTCTTCATGTTATTTGTTGCATCATGTAACTTTGACAAATTTTCAATTTGGTTCCAAACTACTGTAGCATAATCACAATGAAAAAATGAGTCATGATTGATTTTTGTCAGTCAAATATCATTTTAACACATACGAGAATCAAATTTAAGAAAAATCCTTTTTTTATAATAAGAAGTATAACTTTCTCGTGTAGGAAAAAAAACAATAATCACCGATTGTTACTCCAGACAATGAAGATCAAACTCAAGGAAAAGGATTAACAATAAGAAGAAAAAAAAAAAGTTAACTCTTATTTTGGCAATAATTAAATTAAAGTGGGATGAATGGTTAGTTATGGATAATTACTTATGTAATTATTTAGACAATTACGATTTTAAACAAATTTTACATTTTAATTTTACCGACTTATTATAGATTCAAAATAGTAAGAGAAGTAAGGATGACAATACGATAGATTGAAGGTATTTTTTTCTCCTTAATCCTGCCTCCCAAGGTTTTAAGGAGGTAGGTTTTTGTATTTTTAAAATATATCTTTATCCCTATTAGATTTTGTTGGATTTTGGTAAATCTACAGAAATCATAACTTTTTAATTTCAATTTACTTATACATTTTAAATAAACTAAATTTAAAATTTAAAGTTATATGATAATATAAATAATACATAAAAATAAAAAGTAAGAAAAAATTTATAAATAAATTTTAAAAATTAAATTAAATTTTTAATTAAACGTATAATTT